CTGAAACACAGGCAGTTCCATTTGAACCTGAGGAAAAACTTCTTTCCTGTGAGGGTGACAGAGCACTGGACCAGGTTGCCGAGAGAAGTTGTGGAGTCTCCTTCACTGGAGATATTCAAAACCCGCCTGGACGCGATCCTGGGCAATGTGCTCTAGAGGACCCTTTTTGAGCAGAAGTGTTGGACTAGATGATCTCTAGAGGTCCCTTCTAACCTCAACCGGTTCATGATTCTGTGATAATGGACTTTTCTGTAGTTAACACAATAAAGGGTGCTACTAGATGTTAACTGTGATTCTGGAGAATACAGTGCAATTGCTTTTTTTCAGTTTTGTAACTGAACTTTTTTATTCTTATTCATTTCTTTCATTTTTAAACTTAGTGATCCATAGAAGAATGTTAAAATAGTGCTATCAACCTGGTTTCCCAAACAGAGACCTCCACATTACGTTATTTGCCTAAAACAAAATGTAGGGCAACAAAAAGACAGGGAGGTCACAGAATTGCCAATATAAGCACTCTAGAGTTAGGCAGGTTTTATGACCAAGGCTCTGAGGCTTCAGATACTATTTATTCATTCTTATCTTTCTTCCTCTGTTGCAGTTTTATTTTCTCCTTTACTGAAATAACCCCGTATCCAAAACTAAAACAAATCCTTTTTGTTCAGCTGCTTTTTTCTCTTCTTTAACTCCTATCTGCTTTTTAAGTATCACATTGCACAAATCTAAAATAGCACAACAGAGAAAAGACAGCATACTTCTTAATTTACTAAACACATCCCAAGTCATAATGAAAGAAAGTGTCTAGAGAGAAGATTAGCAGTAAAAATTGGACAGGAAATGATTTCCAAAATCCGAAAATCTTCAGTAATTATTTTTTGTGCCCCATTTCAACTCAAGTCAAAAAGAGAACCACCACACTTCTCTGTAACAATCAGATAGATGGTGTTAATGAAGATTTTTATGTGCTGTAGTTTCACAGGAGGTTTTATTATATCCAAAAGTCCACTATGCAAGATACAAATACAAAACAAAATGATGGTCCCTGTCCCAACAGCCTCACGTGCTTTCTGAAAGTAAGACAAGAGATGGAAACAGAGAGAGGATAGAGAGCAAGGGAACAACAAGACAGTAGTGGTCAAAACAGGCAGTAATTTTATGGAATTTTTGATTTGAGAGAAATTTTCCTGAGAACAGTCAACAACCAAGTGGTCAACATATCACAATGGGATAAAAGAAAACACGTTCAAGTCCTTGAAGTGTTTGGTTCAAGCCACACAAATCCATGTTTCTGTGAGTGAGAAAACCTCACTCGGTAAGTTTTCTGAAAAGTCTAGTTTTGAGAAACCAATATTTTCTGATAAAGTACCACATCACTTGAAAGCCACAAAAATTTTTTGGGGCATTTGTCTCTTACAGAAAGTAACTCAGTAAATTAGGGCAGAAAGCTCATGTGAGCATCAACAAAGAATATTGCAAGTGTCAATAAGATACGAATTCTGTATTAATCAAGACCCAATTTCAGCAAAATATAAAATCTTATCGGTAATAAATACAAAAAGGAAACCAGAGTAAATACTTGTGATTAATATTTTTCATAAAGTCAAACCTTTTCTAAAAAGTTAAAACAGTGTACAGTATGTTCACCAGAAATTTAGTTAAGTACTGTAAACATCCTTAAGAAAGCAATAAAAATATGCAGAAATGTTTTAAGAATATTTCCTCTAATAAGGTTGAATTCAATTCATAATTGAATTGATTCATTAATGTCTCCAATGATCACAACAGTTACTAAAGTAAGTTTGAATTTGGCCTAATATTTCTTAGTCTTCCAGTTTCAAAATGCACTTACTTTCCCAGCAGATTCTATGTAATACTTCTGTTCCAAAATAAATATTATCTGCCATTCACAGTCCCTTAATTCAACTGGGTATAACTGTAACCTTGTCTGCATAGTAGACAGAGAGAGATTAATTAGAGACACAGACTAGTCCAAAACAATGAAATGATGCCAGAACTAAAGACCAGCATCAGCCTCACAAACTTCCATGACTAATGCAAGGTGCACTTATTTGACCTGCTTCCTCACGAGCCTAGAGCAACAGACATGTAAGAAGCAGCAAACCCTACAAGTCCCTACCAAAACAAGACTGCTAAATATACTTCTTTCTCCTCTTGCAAAGACAACATTAAGAGTAAACACATGAAAAACTTAAAACCCTACCAGAGGGCACTCAGGTACTGTTGTTAAAGGGTGTAGAAGAATCTGTACAGGAGAAAATAGATGCAATATGAGGTCTACCAAAATTACTAAACCCTGTTCCTCCTGCTTCTTCTGTGAAACTTAGTAAGGAAAGCAGCACTTGTTACGTTTCAACTTTCTGGAAGAATTTACTGTGATGTCTATACTTACGAGCCCCACTCAGCAACCAGGCCACAGTACACTAAGCACTGGGGAGGGATATTAAACATCAAATTGAGCTTTGGTTAACGCAATATGGTAGCGCTTACATTCTCATAATGCTCTGAACAGCCAATATTCGCTATTGCTTTTTTTTTAATAATCAGACACTACAATACTGGGTTCTACAGAAATACTTGAAAGCAATACAAATAATGCTATTACGTAGAGATATGAGTTAATTATCTGCACCATAGTAAAATCACTATGTTGTTGCTATCTCAGTAATTTCTACAGTAAATTATCCCTTTTATACCAGTGGCAACCTACAATGACAGATGAGAAATAAATATATTCTCAAGATCTGAAATTAAACTGAAAGGAAATAAATAAGCTACAAAAGTAACAGCACTGGTACCTGCCCACTGCTATATCATCTTCATTTTTAATCCCTTGCCATGTTTCTACTGACATGAGGAAGTAACTTACAATGTCAAGGAAATCCATGCCTGTCTGTGCTGAATTACAATATTCATATTTCTACTTGTCTATAGTGAATTAAAGTTGTAATAAGCCCAGCTATGTAGATGAGTCATACAAGCCATCTTTCATTTAATAAGGCATCTTTAAATATCATTCTTAGCTTACTTGTAATAATTATCATCAACAAGCAATGTTCGTGCCATCAAATCCTAACTGCTAGAAATTTGCACAAATAAATCACTAAAAGGTTAAGATATTCTCCATGCTAAATAAAATGTACAGTATTAATCTGCTTTATTTTGCTACTGTGACTAATGAGATGTCCTATAGTTGTATCAATTTATAATTATGACAGATCACATGGCAGAGGAGAAACAAGAACAACAAACAACAGACGGATGCCATTTTTGCTACAATTTTCAGAGTAAATTATAAATTCATGTTAAGTTAGATGGTGCTTGCTTCACAAAGTACAACATCCAGATGGAAGTGCATCACCATAACAAAAATTGAGACACATCTTTGTCAGCTCAAAAGTAAACTAACCAAGTATCTTTCAAAACAACACCCAGTTCCGCTTTATACTTCCCTATTTGATCCTTTAGTCTACTTCTTGGTATTACTTTTGAATAAACATCCTAGACATAACAGTAAAACACAGACTTTTTTGGCAAAAGACGAGAAGTGTACGAGACAATTGCATGTAATTCTGACAATTCTCAGGCCACTGGGTAGAGATTGTTTTCCAACATGGAAATGGGTGTTGTTTTCAACATCTACACAGGCAACACATTTCTCATAAACAGGGTGCACGTCTCTAAATGACAGGCATACCACTGCTATGCTATGTATTCCAGAATGTTTGATGCTAGTTTATTCCAAAAAAAAATGCTGAACACCACAGTATCAGGAAGCCCAGAGTCCTAAATACACACAGTACTGCAATGTCACCTCCCTGACCCTGACATAGCAAGCTCTTAGGTACCTCTACCAAATTAGCAAACTGAGCTATCTCAGTAACATGGAAGAGTAGGCAGCACTATGAGTATATATGAGTTATTAAATATCTCTTTTAGTAATATTAAACAAGTTAGTGGGAAATAATTGAGTGTTCTGAATTAGCCTGAAAAGCAAAACCACTGGGATGTTATCTCAGACCACTCAATTGCAGATCCAGACTGACTTAATTAATTTTGCTCATCACAAAGAATTCGAATTTTGTATCTCCTCAAAGTGAATCTTCCATGTATTTGTCTTGTTAAGTTGCTTAGCATTAGAAAATTCTTAGGAATTTCTGTCTTACTTATAAGCCTGCTTTCATACTACTGTACAGCAGCTGATTCTTTAAACACATGAACATTCATCAAATCCTTGTCTTTGTCCTGCATATATTAACCTTTGTTGAGATTAAGTACTACTGAAACAAGGAAAAGAATAAAAGATACTGGTTGATGTTATTTATACAGCTGTAGCATAAAATTTCTGGAGGAGAAAAATACACATTTCTGTTTTGAAGACTTTTCTCCAAAACAGCTTTATCCAATTGCCGTTGGTGTTATGATATACTTTGGAGAGGCAGTTGCTGGCAGATGAGATTGATGGTTGCATCGTCAGAAATTAACCACTTAAAATGTTCCAGAAGTCCATAAAATTAATAATCTGCAGAACATATTTTAGATTTTACACTATTAAAATAAGTTAAGATGCCAAGGATTTTTCTTTGTACTGCTTTTTGTTTTAGAATGTCGCATAGTATAGGAAAATGCAATGAAGCAGAAATATATAAGGCAAACAAAATTTATTCATGTTACAGACATGTGTGGATCATTTGTTGCTCATTCTCAGAAATGTAGCTATATTTGAAAGCCATGTTTCAGAACAGTTTTGTGATGGAACATGTTAGGTTAAGTAGAACATGTATATGCATGATAGTATCACTTATGTTAAATACAAAGTGAAGTTTACATTTACGATAGAAAACAGGAAGTACATTTTTAGGCAAACTGGAATCACTATTTTCAGCGAAATATCAAGGTCAACATTTTGAAAACCAAATACTTAAGTCACAAAGCTAGGGCGACAACTATGGTGAAGCAGAACATCTGAAGACATAATTTACCTTGTGTAACTGATAGTACTGCTCAGCACCTATTCCTCCTTGTTCCTCTCCTGTCCACAGCACCAAGCGCAGAGTTCTCTTTGGGCGAAGCCCTAAAACATAATTTTAAATACTGTCTTTAGTACTAAACACTCGTTTATTTCAGCATTTTTTTGCATTGGTCTCCATCCTCCAAGGGCAGAAAAATCTGAGTTTCCAGTCAACCGTCTCTGACCTAAACAAAAAGTGAACTATTGCACATGTGGGTTTTGTTGCTGGGAGCATTTCTGTTTGCTTGTTTGCAGGAGGGACTGGGGTGTGGGGCGAGAGGGAGCGCAAGAAAGGAGCACGGGTTTGTGGCACTGCTACTCACGTTGCCTCACTGGCTATTGCCTCTGCTGCAGTAGCATAGGAGAAACAAATGAGGGGACCAAATCTACTTATCTGAAGAATGTAAAATGTCTAATTATTACCTTGATTGATTTCCGATACATATGCTACTGTCATTGCTGTGGCCTGCAGTAAATAATGTGTGTATCCATTCAGCAGATTCAAATCAAATTTTCATACGGATTGTCATTGTTTTGTCATGGTTAATTTATTACAATTAATTGAAAATGAGCTGTTGGATTTCTATGAGAAACGTACGCTGATTTCAAGAAATGAGGAGCGCTGCAATATTATTTTTTCTTTTTATTAAACAAATTAAAGAGCAACAATCTTTAAAATCTGAAATCTAATCAGCTGTTGAATGTATGCAAAGCTTTTTAAAACAAGGCAAATGCAAGGCCATTCTGAATTTTGCTATGATAGCTAAGTTAGAAAGATAATTTCTCAGATATATTTTTAAATAGTTTATTGCCATGGCAGAGATGAATAGATAGAAGTCGTTGCCCTTTATTTATTTATTTGATTGATTCTATTCATAAATGAATACATTCAAGATATCAAAACTGAGAACAGCAAAGAGACCAAGAATAAATAGCGTTTGCTATACAGTGCAATGCTAATTACGTTCAAGTAAAGAGAAATCCCACCAAAAATATTTAAAAAAACAACAAAAAGAAGCCAGTTAGCAGAACAACATAAACCATAAAGCGTAAATTACCATACACATTTCTGCGCTGAACAGAAATAATATCAGTATCACTGTCAACTCTTATTTCATTTCCTAGCTGAAATGAATAAAGTTTACAAATAGACCTGATCTTCATTAATTTTTTTTCTCTCAATGTGAGAGAAAATCAACTAAGGACTTCTTTTTAGAAACTACACACTAGTAATCCTAATAACTGAAGACGGAGTATAAGAGGAATATTCAAAATTTCCTTAGATTTCCGATTATTTTATAATGAAGAAAATGTAAACCAGCGGAAGCAAGTGATTAAAAAGTGTATTTTCTAAATGTAGATCTGCTGACTGTGAACAAAAAGGAAATGAACCCTCAATTTTTAAACCGCCTCCCCTGCCACCACGTACACACCTCAGTGGATTTTGTTCCTTTCCTAATTCATTACAACAGAGGATTAGTCTCCTTCACATTTCAAAACAGATAGATGTCATATTACAATAATAAAATGGCAAGCATATTGAAGTCAGAATGACTTTAGACACAAGGTAACTGAAATTGTGCAAGTGGCTTCACTTCGAAAGGTTGCTCTAAGACAGAAAAGGTGCTGGCTAAAAGGATACAGTGCTAGATCCTGCTCATGGTCCGAATGGTACCTGAGCTTAAGTGGCGAACAGAGGTGCCAGCGAAGGGCTGTGTTTATGCGTCCCATCACAGGGTGCTAAGTACTGAAGACTAGTCTCCAATCCACCATGCCAAGGCTCTGAAAACAGCTTTGGTAGGAGATCCTTGAAGGAGAAGAGCAGAGTCCTCTGCCTCCTCCCAGGCTGGCGAGAACAAGCAGTGCCAGCTTCATGCTCCGCTGCTCGGTCCCACTGCTGTCCACAGGCAGTCTAGCAAGACAGAGGTCAGCAAGACAGAGTCAGGGTTCGCCTTCAATGTGCTCCAACCCCAGCTGATCTCTTACGCTCTGCATGAGTCAGAGAAGGACTCAGTTTGCTCACACAAACGAAGCTTGAGGTCCTTATGGCCCCCTCTTAGCCCCTCTCACTCCATCTTTTCACTAAAGGGGAAAAAAATAAGCCCTGCTGAGTTTAGGTTTTTCCATCCCCTAAGGTGGGAAGACTCTATCAGCTCTTACACTCCAAGAGGTTTTTGTGAGCAGATCCACTTGTGTGTTCTACTGAAATGAAATAACGTGAGTTAGAAAAAATATCAGCTATGGAAGTAGTTGTTTTAAATACAAAACAAAGTGTACAGAAGAAAATCTAATTTCCTCATTATCTTAATCTGAAAGTGATAAGTATTTATCTACTTGTTATTAAAAACACAGCTATTCTGACCATAATACATCAAACAAATCCAATATTCACAAGTAAAATTGCTACGAACAGTATCAATGCATGCTTTTATTAAAAAATATGAAATACTGTATTTAAGCTACAATCTTTTTTTTAAATGAAGTTTATCAATTTTGATTTACTTTTTGCAAACTACTGGTTCCTAAGCAAGGTACAATCACCACAAAATCAGAAGCCTTTCAGATCACTGACCAAATATGTATTGACAAGAATGATAAGACAGCACTTGGACTAGAAAGTTGTGTTCTGTGATAAGAATATTATGTACAGGGCTCTGTAGCAAATTTTAAAACAAAGGCAAACGGTAGCACAAATAAAGCAGTGCCTTCTTTTTACCTATATTTTTACCTATATAAATGACAGATAGTCTAAAAAAGGACAGCAGACAGAATGTTTTTTTATAAAGTTACCCAGAACATCTAAATAGATCACTTTTGGCAAAGTGCAGCAGGTTATATCCATATTTATTGATATATCAGTGCAAGGATCCTTTTGTGCCCTCACTAGGTCACTCACATCTGAAATTATGTAATTCAAATGAAAGCTGGAGAGCATATTACCTGCTCGAAGCCACAGAAACTCCAGTTTCCATGCTAAAGAGAACAGCAGAGGTTTACAGGAGAATAACATTCAAAAGGTGATAGCTGGAATTCAAATAAATTTTTCAAATAAATTGTTCACACCAGTGTGACTTTGGTAGAGTTACTCTTACTCAGATGTGTGAGAAAGCACAGAAGAGCCTCAAATACAGTCAAGTACATAGTTCTGCACAAATGTTCATTTTACTGATCAGCCTCTAGATTCTCCTGGTCTATTCCAAGCACCAGAAATACTATGGGGCATCTGGGCTCCTAAACTAAAGGAAGAAAATCAAATCACTGATACAACTGACCTAAGTCTGGGGAAAGGTGTGTGTGCTATGTATACCAGGACGCTTGTTTCAGTATACTCCCCCTGTGCTGGTGTGGCTATTAGCCATTTCATCATCTCCGTGTAGTGTATTTCATGATTACTCTGAACACTTCAGTCAGAGTAAAATGCAGTCCTTATCCATACTATGTGCTGTTTCTCTCAAAAAACAGGTATTGATTAATCAGTCTCACTTCGATTTCAGCTACAGTAAAATATTTTGCAAATAACATTTATTTCATAATCTGTGTAAAAGACATCTCAGCATCTCAGATGGAGGTGTATATAAATAAGTATATATATATATATATATAAACATCTATAAAATTTACAGTAATTTTAAATGTAGAATGGATACTTTCTAGACAAGAGACCATTTATTAAAACCACGTTATGTTCTTACAACAGTGGATAGTATCCCAGTAATAAGACAGATCCCAGGACACCATGTAAGAACTGGATCTTGTCCTACCTATCCTGCTAAGCTGATACATTCCTGTACAATAAAACAGAAATTTGTAGTTTAGTTTGCTAATCTGTCCTATGCAATGTACAGAAATAAACATGCTCCACTCCCAAGACAGCACTTAAACAAGGAAGGAGGAGGAGTAGAACCAAGGTTATGCTGTGGACAGAAAAGCTAAATATGATCAACATATTATAAGGATTCATGTATTGCATGAACTGTAGCATTGTATACTGTTATCCAGTTCCCAGTACACTAAGGCAGTCCCATTTTCTTTTTATATTTACTAAAATACACAGATATTTCATTTGTTAATTATTTCCATTACTCACATATAGTTTCTGGATATGACTAAAGTATATGTTTTGTCCATCTTTTCACAAAGCTGAACCTACGGGTTTTATGATCATCAAAAAACTACCAAAAAGGTCCTCTGTGAAAAAGACAGAAGAGCTGAAGAAATACAATTATTTTTTATATACACGGTGTCTTTTTAAGAAACAAAATAGAGATGGGAAGTGAGAAGTGCAAATACTAAATTTACTTTAGTAAATATTTTCCCACTTTATAAATGTACATCCTTACTGATGGGGGGTATTAAGTAAAGAGATACAGTATTTTCAAATAAGACAGCGTTGGCTAATCAGAGTGATCTGAGAGAAGGCATCATGTTGTTGTAAGACTGAATATCTCTTGAAAACATAAAAAGAATTCCACCTTTGTGAAGAAAGGATTTATTTCTTCTCCTGCAAACCAAGGCATGGGCATCATCCACAAGCAAATCAAACAGCTGTTCACACTACAAGTAGCATACAAGCAAGTTGTCAACGGATGTAAGCAGATTAACTGGTAAAATATTTTAACATGCCCTTAGACAGTATTTACCAGTAAAATGCACATCATGCGCTGAAAGAAGGACATGCTTATATCACCCTATACTGTCTTCCTGTCTTAATTTCTATAGCCTATTTCTACTTCTTCATTTTGAAAGCTGCATTTATTTTCGAACCCAACTGATTTTTAAGAATATTTGTAATAAGTTGCATTAGCTGCAAAGAGGAGAAGATCCTTAGAGTATAAAGAGTATAGAGATAGAAGCTAGGTATCCCCTGTATACAATAAACAGGAAAATGACTGTAACCAGCATGTGCTTTGGAACTGCGGGAACCATCAGGGTTCTCAGAGCTTTGGCAGCTTGCTCCCAAGACTCTGCACAAATAGCCCAGCAAAGCCTTGAACTGAATACCAAAGTAGTACAAATTACACTACCTGATCCCTTACACTGTTACACCTCTTAAGCCACTGACG